CTTTCTTTTCCTGGTCACTAATTTCATGCTTCTTTTCAATATCTGAGATCCTGAGTATTTTAAACCAAAGCAAAATTAAAGAAATTAAAAAACCAGACAAAATTGTCCTACTTCCCTTTCTCCTACAGCAAAACTGAATTTCTTAATTTGTATTTCTCTGAAGAAGATTATAAAGCCTGCTTGCCCACTACCTGAGCTTCTTCCTCCATTCTCTCCTGAATCCTAAGATGATGGTGTTTTGCCCTCAAGAAGGAATGTCACACAGAGACAAAGAAAAGAATCTGAGCAGACAGGACTTGTTAAATCCCCTCAGTTTTTTCCCATTAGATCTTATCTTCCTGCTCACCAATATCTTTCTGCATGAGTGTACCATAAAATTAGTTTTTCCTGGTCTTTGAGGTCTTCAGTTTGGAAGTCACCTCTGTCATTTTAAATTTTTATGCTCTTCCCTTCCTTATCTGTATGTTATTATAGGACTGTCAGCTATGAACATATTGATGAGTGAGGAAAGGATAAGACTTTGGAAATGAAGTTGAAAAGAATTTTAAAATTAGAATTATAAAGCTAAACTATTTCTCCATCTTCCTCATGCTGAGAGCAGAAACTTCCACTCTCAGTCTCGGTGCCATGAAAGTTTCAATAGTATCCGACTTCAAACATTTTCCTGGGTTCTGGTACAGCTAAGGCTTGGCTGCATCTACACATGCATATCTTTTTTTTTCTACCTTGCCCATAAGTTCAAATGTTTCTGTGCAGTGAATGAGAGCTAACTGTTCTCCCAAATGGCTAAGCAGGAAATAAATTCACTTTTCCATTTTACAGTTTTTTTCCCAATAATGGATGTATGATTGAATGGTGGGTTCTTGGAGAATTCTTTCCAGGTTCTTGGTGTTCTGAATAAAGAGCTAAATAAGATACACAGGATTTCTCCCAGTTGCTTAAACACTTTGCCTCGGCCTTAATCTCCTATATAAAGGGAGGATGGGCCAAGAGTGTGAATGTGATCTTCCTTCCTCTGATATTTTCTCAAAGGCCCAGGTGCCATATTTTTGAAAAGCACATTCTCATTCTCATCACAATGCTTTCCAAAGACTGCATATCTGAACTGAAAGTCAGAAATGTTTGGAACATGTCCACAAAAAGTGTTAAAGGGAAATACTCATTTATTTCTTCTCCACTGAGCTCTCTTCCATTTTGATTTGAAATGTAGGCAGAGCTTCATTGTTTTGGCATATAACCACTCTTCTAAAGCTTCTGCAATGGAACTTGATGGATTCTAGCATGGCCTCTTGTAGCTTAAGGTTCCTTTGTAAATGGACTCCTGCTTGATATAAGGTGCCTGTTTGAGGAACCCAGAGCCTTCTAGGAGGATCCACTTCTGTGTTCCAGTGAAAACTTGGAGTCATATAGGCCCTGAATCCACTTTGGAACAGTTATTTCAGAAACACTGGAATATCGTATTCTATCTGTTATGTATTTCTAGCACTGCAAACATTTTCCTCAAGGAAGCTTTTCTCCGAAATGCAAACTTTTTGGGAGATAACTCTTTTTCTCTTCCCTGTCACTGTAAGAAGACAGGGGCCACCTGAAGTGGTGGATACATGGCTCTTTCATATACTCTTGCTTCATGTCATAAAAATAGCAGAGATATGATTTTTCTTTCACTAAATGCTTAGTTACACTGACTAATTCCCTTAAACATCACTTATTGCCTTTGTCATAGTGTACATTAGTATTTATAAAGAATTCAAATTTTATGAGGAGGCATCTGCTATCTCAGCACTCTGGGAGGCTGCAGGAAGAGGATCACAAATTTGAGCACCGTAAGAGTAGCTTAGAAAATTTAGTATCCCCCAAAATAATATAAAATAAAATAAAATAAAGGACTGGTGATATAGTTCAGTACAAAGTCCCTAAGTTCAACTTCTAATATCAAATAACAAAAATAATAATGAGAAAGTAGGAAAGGAGGGAAGAGGAAGAAGAAGGAGGAGGAGGAGGAGGCATAGGAGGAGAAGGAGGAAGAGAAGATCTTCAGACTTACATTTTAGGGAAGTTGAATTCTTCTTTCATATTAGTATTTTTACCAGGCTGGATCTGAGGAAGTTTCCATGATGCAATAAGGAGTCTAACTGATCCTTCTTATAGGATAAGTTTTTAGGTTCACTGATTTCCATTGTGGAAAGAGAACTTCCATGATGTGTTGAAGTTCAGGAAGTGCTTGTTAGGCAGAAATTACAAGATACACACTCAAAGAAATAGAGTGTGGGCCCTAAAATGAAAGAGGAACTTATTTCCTGGAATAAGAAGGATTTGTGCTTCTCTTGAAGAGGCAAAAACCTCAGAAAAAGATGCCCTATTCTCGGAAAGATGGTGGTTTATTTTCCAAATATAAACCCATTATGTGTGTGTCTGTGTGTGTGTGTGTGTGTGTGTGTGTGTGTGTGTGTGTGTAGTAATTTAAAGATAGTTTGTATTCTCTTGACCTGTTCCTTTATCCTAGGATCAGTTTCCTCTCTTTATTTTTTTCAGTTAAACCGATTTATGGACTGTCGGTACTCCCATGGAATTTTGGGTGTGATGGATCTGGAGGAAAGGAAATTAAATTTAACCACAGGAATACTGATGTGGATCACTTTAGGTGACTTCAACTGAGACCCAAAAGTTTCAGTTTTCTTAAAGGTACAATTTTAGTTATGACTTCTCTCTCTATCTCTTTCTCTCTTTATCTTTTATTTCTTTTATCTCACCTCAATATTACTGAGTGAAAATCTGTCTCTACCACTTTCATGTCTGGCTTTATGTTTAGCAATAGTCACATGTCTCCTATTTTCTGCTTACTTCTAATTCTGGTACGTGGGATGGAGGCCTTTCTAGGTTTAGCAAGTGACTGTGTCTTGGGGAGATCTGTGAGGTTCTCCTTTTCCTGGCATTCAAAGTGACTGGAATCGAATGTAGACTTTTCAGGCATCACTCCAAGAAAATGTTATTAAACCTTTTAAAACTTGCTGTCATATGTCTCTGCAAATTCTAGAAATTACTGTAGTTACTCTTGTCCTCTGTCTTGAAGAGGGATGAGACTAGATAATGATAGGGATATTGAACCTTGTATTATCAGGTTAGATATTTCCTAAGTGATTAACAAACCTAAGTGTAGAACTGAGCAGGGATCTTACCCAAAGATTTAAGATAATAAGAGAGACAGGTTTAAGTGAAGAGAAAGATATCAAACTTAATCTTCCTCTTAGTTATTCAATGGGTAATTAATGAGGAGTCATCTCATGATGGGGAGGCTCATCTTCTTTCTCTTTCAATCATTCATAAATAATTATTACTTTGCATTCTTAATCCATGACAAACACCAATGGGTATTGTTTATTCTCTCCATTGTTACAATAATGCACCTCATCTCTTTATGACATCCTTCTGTCATAAACCTACTGGTTTCCTCCGTTGGACAATGAACATTTTTGGAGATACCATTTTCCTTGGCACCTTTAGCTCTTGCCAGTTGGAAAGCTGAACACTTAATAGGTGTTTAATGAATTAATAAATACATGAATAAGTGCAGTTATAGTGAAATGATGGTGAACTTAATACACCAAAATTGTGTAACAAGGTCAGGTATATTGACTCATACCTGTAATCCCAGAACTCTAAAAGATTGAGAAAGGAGCATCACAAGTTCAAGCCCAGCTTGTGTAATTTAGCAAGATTCTGTCTCAAAAAATTTTTTTTCTGTAGCTCAATACAATTGTAGTTTATTATCCATGCTTCTTGCAGTGGCTGAGGGACCCCAGTTCTTCTCCTTTTGTCTCTGCCTTCTGCTAGGCCTTAATATGCTCTGCTTCCAGTTTGAGGAGAGACTGGAGGAGTGAACCTCTGTCAACTGCTTTGGCTAGAAGTGGAATGTCATTTCCTTTATCATCCCATCAATGATGACCTAGAGTAGTAAGTGGGGAAACAGAGGCCACAGTGTTCAGGGCTATGAACGGGAGGTTAGGGCTGAGACTAGGATACATGCCTGGAAAAAAATTTTTGAAATGATTGAGAATTATAGCTTATTGCAAAGGCTTTGGATTCAAGCCTCAATCCCTAGTACAAGAAAAAATAAAAAGAAAAAAGAAAAAAAGCAAGAAAGAAACAAAGAGAAAAAGAAAAAGAAAGAAAAGACTAGAACAGTTTTCCTCAAAAGTGTTGAAAGTTTACATAGACCTAAGACAAGGTCCTAGAAGGTTCCCAAAGTACTAATAAGCAACTTAACCCAATCTATGCACAGAATTAAATTGTAGGCTTGCTGACTCCCATCACAGAAAAAAGAAGTTTTAGGATATATCAGTAAGATGCATAAGCAGAAATTTAAAACTATACGCTTAAAGAGATAAAGTAAGGACCCTCAAGTTAGAGACAAATTATGATTTGGAGCTGGGTATATTTATGGGATCTTGGGTTGTCTTCAAGATGAGTGACCTAGGATGTAAGTTTCTATTGTCTGTCAGGTTACCAGTTGGTGGGCTGTGTTAGAACGCAAACACATTTGCCCATGTTTGAAGCGGAAATATGTCCCCACTAATATTACTGTTTCTTTGAAGATGGAGTTTTGTAAGAAAAGCATGGTTTTTCTGTGAAAAGCACAGGCCCAGAGCCCAATTTGCAAGCTTATTTTGTCTTTAAGACCTTAGTAATATTTTGATTGAATTTTCTGGAAGGGAGAAAACTGGGTAAATTTTGTATTATGAAGCTACAGTTTTCCTTAAAAGTACCATTTTAAAGTTCTGATTTTTCTTGACTCCTTGTTAGCGTATCTTTATTTCTTGTTTTCTATATCAGGCCAAGTCAATTATTCATGCCAATTTCAGTTGCAAGAGCAAAAAAGGCAATATACTGCATTTATCTATATATTTGTCTCCTATTGGGTCTTAAATAATGACCTAATATTCAGACTCTATTATTTCTTAGTGGTTCAGTCACAAAAACAGGATCTCAACGTATAAGTGGAAAATTTCTACAGCATTTTCATTTCCTGTTTTTGAGTGTCTGGTTGGACTACTTAAACTCAACTTGTTAAACTTCAGTAAATACTTATCCTACGTGACTTGACTATAATTTCGCTTTTGGCCCATAGGGAGGGATAAAAATGAAAATCATACTCAAATATTATTAGAATTCTATAGAACCATGGACCCTCATCCTGACTTCGAAAATGTGGATGAAGATGGATACACTAAATTAAACTTTAACACTCAAGATGCTACCAGATCACCTGTGGGCTCCAAGAAAGGTACTTTTATTCTTTCTACCTTTGGCACTCTTATTCTCATCAGGTAACATATAGTAATAAAGAAAGTGTGATAAACTAAAGATCTGTAGAATTTTCAATGATATATGTACACATATTTTTCAACAGTCACTGCAGATCATTTGAATATACAGTCTCTTTTCAAAGAAACTATTACAGTGATTCATTACTATTATCTAAATTAATTATGTTTCAAGATAGCCAATACAATTTTTCTAAAAATTAGTGAATTCATCAGTCATGAGGAGTTGGTAATAAGTATGAAGAAAATCAAAGTAGAAACAATCAACACAGTAATTTCTTGCTTTTTTTTGGTAGAGTCAGTCATAGGAGAAATGTCCAGGAAACTTTAGCAAATATATAGGAAAAACATTAGGAAATGGGAAATAACAATTAGAAGCCTGAACTAGGCATGAGAGTGCATGCCAGTAATCCCAGCACTTGGGAGACTAAGGAAGGAAGCCCGTGGTGTGGTCAAGGCCGCCCTGGGCTACACCCATAGCATATTCAAGGGTAGCTTGAATCACATAGTAAGACCTTCTCTAAAAAAAAAAATCAGAAGATAGAAACAATGAGAGATAGCTGAAAAAAGTTCCAATTTTCGTGCTAAAAAAGGATCAAAAGGAAGTCAGAAATGAGGGTAAGAAACTCAAATATCGTGTGGTTTTGTTAGTAAGAGGTTGATTTGGATTTTTCTTCCTTGCTGATTTCAAAAGGTTCTTGGTATCCAGTGAAGGGAAGCATAGGTTAGACGAAAATGTCCCATTAGCAGGACATGAATCTTAAACCAAATATAGGGCTTTATAGGACCTTTCTCTTCTCAGAATGAGTGACTTAGTCACCACTGTAAACCTCCTGTTTGACAATTCTATGAGATAGTCTTACTCTATTCACAGTGAAAAACTGAGATATGTTCTTGGTGTGGAGATAATACAAAATCAGTTTCTCATCATCCTTGGATAATTCTAAAGAATCACAGGTTTTGACATCAAGGTTTTCTTTCTTCTGCTTTTTGCTTTTCACATTGCATAATTATTTTCCTCTTTTCACCACTTACGCAATTCTTCTCTTGGGCAACTTGATTTCAGAAAAGTAGACAAAACGGTGAAGGAAGAAGTAATACCTATTCATACATAAATAACAAGCAATCTATAGTGGGTTTATAATTTTAATAACAGGTGATCCTACATGTGTTAGCTCACTTATTTCTCATAATAATCTCTGAGCTATTACCTTAATTTCACAAAATTTAAAAAGAAACAAGGTAGAGAAAAAAACAAAATAATTTGTCCAAGTCATGGACCAAATAAATGCAAAGTGAAGTTTATTCTTGATAATCAGTGCTATTTCTTCATGTATGAAACTATTTTCTCTAACAATGAGTTTGAGAAATCTCAGTAGTTTTAAGACCTATTGACAACAAATATGGAATCAGTATCAGAAAGAACAGATAACAAGGCAATGTGTTAAAATTATAGTTTCAGCAACTGAAGAAGAGGTATCCTAAAAGTGGGGAAAAACAGAGCCCAAACCTAAATAAGCTGATTATCTAGATACCAATGGTTAATGAATACCTTCAGAATTTTAACCCATTGTGTAATAAAAATGCTCTGTGTCCCATTATTAGTTTTTCTCATTCAATTTTTTTCTTCCTTAGGACTCTCAGGAATTCCTGCTGCATCTCCTGCTTGGCGGCTCATTGCTGTGATTTTGGGAATTTTATGCTTGATTATTCTAGTGATAGCTGTGGTCTTGGGTTCCTTGGGTAAGTGTTTGGGAAAATTAATAACAGCTATAGACACTTAATAAGCATTAATGTGTTCCAGGCCCTCTTTAAAGTGTTTGACATCATAAACTAAATTATTCTGTATATTGACCTTATTTATTGAGTCAGTTCTTTTAAATCCTGCCTCACTTAGAAGTGAGAGACTGAGAGGGTCTCTTCGTGGTACTACCAGGATTAGAAATTTAGGTAACCTGTGGTTAAAAAAAACTCATATTCTTAACTATATTTTTCTATTCATTTCCTTAAATACATGGTTTCAAAACTGGGTTTTATGAATGATAAATTAATGGAAGGAAAATTGTAGAACTGGAGAAAGAAATATGATATAATGCTATTTCTTAATGAACTAAATTTTCTAGAGGGATTAAAAGCTATTTGCATGAGTCTAATGAGTTGGGGAAGGTATTTTATATCTGACGATTAGTATAAACTCTTTTGAATATGCTAAGAATTGCCATAGACATTTACTAAGTAATCATTTTGTGATGGATGAATAGATTTTCTTAGACTTTATACCTCATGCATTCTGTTGTGAATAAAATATTATTGAGCCCTCAGAAAGTCTCCATGATAGTTCTTTATTAAATAATATTTGTTGCATATACTTTGTAACTATCAAGCAGGGTCATGAAAAGCTTTCATTTTTTAATAATAAAAAATAGAAGCGTTAACATTTCCAGCCTTCTCGGTTATAATTAATTATGTTATTTTTCTCTTGTTGTCTTCCTCATTCACTTTATCTATTTTTTTCACAACTCCTTTATAGAAGTTATTTTTTCTAAGTATTTTGTCTGTCAATTTCTTCACCTTTCTACCACAGTTTATCTTCTATCAATTATAAATCAAACATGTATCCCTTCGTATTTCATTTATATATGAAGTTTAAAATTTCAAGCATAACCAAGTGAATTTTTTTCTGTCACTGCTATTGTTTTTTGGTATATAAAGCATTTTGGCGATCCAATTCAGGGAGCAATCTTTTGGAGAAAGACAACTCTCTGTCAAGAAACAAAGAGTACCAAAATCAACCCACAAAATCATCTTTACAAGAGAATGCGGCTTCTACCAAAGCTTTCAAAACCACAGGCAAGGGTAGAATTAAATGTGTAATGGAATCCTTCATTCAACAGAATTAACTTGGTGTTAAGGCCTGGGATAGGGGAATTAACTGAATTTAAGTATGCTCAGATCCAGTGATCATGATGCAATGCAAGCATATTCATCAATATTAATGTAGTTTAATGTGTCTCTGTTGTATATAAAGTGTATTGCAAAAGAAATCATGCAAATCACTCACCATGTACAAGTTGGATTGTTAAAAATCAGTAACTTGATTATCACTGTTTCCATAGATTTACAGGAGATTGTACAATTTGATGCACAGGATTTTAAAAAAAGGTATTCTTTCCCCTAGGGAATTGATGTTTTTGAAAAATGGAACATGAGAAAAGAAGAGTGGTAGGAGAAAAGTAAAAAAATAAAAATGTTGGCAAGAATTAAGATACTTCATTAGAAATGTACAAAAGAGATAGACCTTATACACTCATTCCTGAAAATTCTTTTTAAATGACTTTAATCACACAATTTCATTGATTTAATTATAATTTTATATATACTCTTCCCTTTTGATCATATTATTATTATAATTGATTAAGACAATATTTTTCACTTGACGTTCTCATCTCTGGATTTCTCTTTCTTCACAATTTCTATCAAGTAGCTAATAATACAAATCAGAGGTACTTTGAAATACAATAGTTCCTTTAGGCATTCAAGCTTTATAATACCACAATTTGCAATGTGTCTCTTACCATATAATAACATGATGATATGTAACATCAAATTACTGAGTACCCCAATGACAATTCTAGTGTGAATTTGATATAACGGAAGACAAGTCAAAAAGGAAAGGATGATGCCTATCTAAAACAGTATAATTGTTCAACTAATTTTTAAATTTTAAAAGAATAAGGATATTTAAATTATTTTGTAAAATAATATCCTTATAGTTTGAATTGAAAACAAAATGTATAATGATGATTCATTGATTTTTATTAAGTGTTCTTGAGATGATTAGTGCTTGCTCTGAAAGAAGGAAACGATACTCTCTGAACTTCATGCTATTATCGTTTCTTCCCAGGAGTCTTTTCCAGCACCTGCCCGCCTAATTGGATTGCACATGAGAAGAGCTGCTATCTCTTTAGCATTTCACTAGATTCCTGGTACGGAAGTAAGAGAAGGTGCTCTCAGCTGGGCTCTCATCTTCTGAAGATAGACACCTTGAAAGAATTTGTAAGTGTAGCCTTCAGGTAGAGGATCTCAAGTGAGGAATCTGCTCTTGTATTGATTAGAAAATTCCAGATAATATTCTCCCTCAGAGAAACTTATTTTCAGTGTACTCTGTAATTGCAATATTAGCAAATATGAAGCACTTCAAGGGTATAATGTATTCAATTAATATAATTAATTAAAAATAATCATGTTTCACTTCAAATCCTTTCATACACACTCCATATTTACTAGAATAATCAGGCCTTTGATAATTTTGATTAATTTGTATTTTAATTCCTTTTTTTCTTTTTAATCAGTACCAGGGATTGAACTCTCAACTGCGCACTTGCAAGGGAGGTGCTTATGCCGCTGAGCTAAATCCCCAGCCCTGTATTTTAATTTCTAAATTTGAAGGACTAAAGTAGAAAATTTCTTGTTGCTCACCAGAATTCTGATGAAAAACTGTAGCAATGACAATATAATTAACAAATTACTTGCACTTTCAAGATACTGGGAGAAGTAAAAAGGTTTAAAAAGTAACTGCTATTACTAGTTTTTCATAAGCATTTGTTTAACCAAACATTAATTGTTAAAACTTAAATATCTGATACTGATAACCAATAATATATGAGTATAGTAATATCCTGTGGCTATAAGGAATTTTTCAGAAAAAATAGGAGTTCCAATTGATCATGAATGAAAGGTAAGCATCTGCTGAACTATGGAAAACATTAATATGAAGCATTTCATATCATAAATCTGAACTAATTTGTTATTTCTGCAACTACATTCACATCTCGCCAGTTTTATTTCCCTAATGTTGTATCACATATTTCCAGTTGATACTAATGTTAATGAAAGAAAATATTAGGCAAAGGTAGATATTTGGCAGATTTCTGTTATATTAGAAATCTGTGTGGCATTTAGACAAGCCTAAAGTTACCAACAAATCATCTTAAATTTGACAACAATTAAATATCTTCATTGAAATCCAAATTATTTATAAAACATGCAGTGGTATCAAATTATATCTTTTTTTTTTTTTTCAGACAGGGTCTTACTATATAGTGTGGGCTGGCAGTGAACTCCTTTATGTAGCTCAGGTTGACCTTGAACTCACAGTGATCCTCCTGCCTCAACCTGCCAAGCACTTAGATTCCAAGTGTGCACTGCCATGCCCACCTGAGACTAAAATTAATTTTAAGGTTCTAACCAATTCTGAAAGACATTTCTGGAAAAGGTTAGTACTAATTTCTATTTTAAATATGGATTACATTGTGGCTTATCAACTACAAAATCTCCCAGAGACCTTGTCATTTTTGAATTTTATTGATTTCATTGAACAGAGGCTGCCCACAGATATTACAAATCTATTTTCAATTTACATTATCAATCTATTCTTTGTGTGAAATTTAAATGACAATGATTTAATTATTGGTAGCTGTTTCTAGGTTACACATGCATTGTTTACCAAGTGTGTTGTCTTTATTTTTTTTCCAAGTCTATAATAACATTTCTCTATCTCATGTGTATTTGTATTTTGTTTCACTACAGGATTTTATAGTAGGACAAATGTCTTCCTATCCTAATAATTCTTTTTGGATTGGCCTTTCTCGCAATCAGACTGAGTCATTATGGGTCTGGGATGATGGATCGACTTTTTCTTATAACTTGTAAGTACAACCAAAGGCAAAACTTTCTCAAATAGATAAAAGCATGGCATGTATTTAAGAACCGGATTTACTGATCAAAAGACAAAAAGAAAGATTCAGTGGTGAGAGGTGATGGGTGGAGTGGAGAGCAGACTGGAAGAGGGATAGTGCTGTCCACTCTAGTGTTTCTTTGGCTGTCAGGAGGACGTCTGGCATCTGTTGGAAACTGTTCATTCCAGGAGCAGACTCTGTTACTCAGTGTCATGTGGGGGATTAAGAGCACAGACTTCAGCCCACTCACTGTTCATCTGACACTGAATAAGTCAATTATTTCTCATGAATCTCATTGCTCTTATCTGTAAATAAGACTGTAAAGAGTACCTACCACTTAGAATTGTGAGAAACAGGGTATAAAAATAAAATGACTAACATGAAGTCTTACACGTAGTGTGGAACTATTATCATTAGGCTAAAAATGACATCTTTCATTTTAAAGAGTTTTAAAAATATTTTACATTTGTATGATTAGGGATTTTCCTCATCGTGTGTTGAAGTCTTTCTCATTGCAATTGATTTGTTTTTCTCTCAATATCCATAGAATATGAAATTATAGCATAATACCTGGTAGCAAGGTCTAAGAATAAGTTCCTATCATTAATGTGTATGCCAGCATGTGTGTGTGTGTGTGTGTGTGTGTGTGTATTTCTTTTTTTCCCTTAATCTCATTAGGTATATGTTTCAATTTAATCAATGTCCCTCAATAAAATCTCACAACTTTTGACTTTGGTGATTTTCTTTATCATTTCTTTCATTAATTTTGATTCTCATCTTTATTACTTCCTTTATCTAATTTTATTGTATATGTTTAATTTGCTACTTTTTAATTTCTCATCTTGGATGCTTGATTAGTGAACTTTAAGTGTTCTTTTTCTTCACTTAAAACTATATAATTTTAATACACTTTTATTGTCACTTAAGTTCAAAATGCTTTCTGATTTTCACTGTAATCACAGGTTATTCTCTGTATCAACAAATTTACTGCATGTGATGTTATTTCTGCCATTTTGTGTGTTTGCTTTTCCCATATAAGATAATTGTGTCAAAAATACCCACTATGATCATACTCACAGTTCTGTGAGCATTTAATATGATATAGTGAAACTATATTATTAGGAATATGTAGATTTAGAGTTGTATCTGCTCATTCAGTGTTACATTTTCTTTTCTTTGTTTCCTTTTTTGGAGGCCGATTTAATACTTATTAAATTTTGCTCCTGTTCTTTTTTCCTAATTTGAAATTCTTTTACTAGTTACATAGTAGCTTCTTTAGTGATTATAGTATGTATTCTTTACTTATCAAAGTCTATTTTTTGTAATTCAAAGTGTAATATCAACTGGACTTTTTATAGTTTTCATGATCAATGTAGCATTCTTAGAATATTCTGTTCAGTCTCTCCCTACTTCTTTTATTATTATATACGTATATTTTAATACTACTAAACACACCAGTTTCACATTTTTATATCTGTGAAAGTAATCTATATCTTATGATGGCCTTTGATAATTATTGTAAAAGAACTGAAGTTGAGCTCTGTCATTAGCATTTGCTTCTGTCAATTAAAGAGGGGCCACAAAAACCTAAGGCTACTCTGAATTAAATGCCCTGCTTGAGTTTCTGTTGAATTTAAAGAAGAACTATATGAGTGTTAGTTTGCATATCAGTTTGTCAGGGCACTTACATTTTTCTTCTCATATTCACTGAGTAGCAAGACCAAGGGATCAACATTTTCTTACACTTTTCTGTTTGGCAGTTTTATTTTTTATTCACTCTTAAAACAAAATAACCCTTTGATTTCTAGCTTCTGCAGTGTCTTATATTCCTTATCTTGGATAAAATTTCATAGTATTGGAAGGAATTAGTGGTACACTTTACAGTTGATGTCCTCTTTGATTCAGCAAAATATAGCTTCACTAAAGATATATTTCTTTATATATGTGTACATGCAAACACATAAACATGTCTATGTATTTAATGTTCATTTACATTTACTTGCATATTTATGCTTTTTATTTTTTGGGTTTTAGTCATTTTTCTTAAACTGAAGAGCATGCTTTCATATTTTCTCTAGAAAATAGACAGAAGTTGATTCTTCGTGATGATACACAGCTTTATTTTCAGCACTCTGGGAGGTGGAGTAGGAATATCACAAGTTCAAGCCTAGCCTGTGCAAATTAGTGACTTAAGTCAGTGCTTGTCTCAAAAAAATTTTTGTTAAAAAAGTAGAGTATATGAATCAGTGTGAAAGTCCACCACCTGCAGTATCATAAGAAACAAAACACAGGCTGGGGGTTCAGCTTAGTGGCATAAGCATATACCTAGCAAGTGTAGGTTATGAGTTTGATCCCTGGTACCCCCCCCCCAAAAAAAAAAAACAGAAAAAAAAGTAACAAAAGACACACACACAATTGTCATTTTGACTTTTTTTTTTTTTTGTCTTTTTCTTTTTTTTTTTTTTTTTTATTGGTACCAGGGATTGAACTCACAACTGCCTGCTTACAAGGCAGGTGCTTATGCTGCTGAGCTAAGTCCCCAGCCCCATCATTTTGACTTTTATAAAACACATGTTAATTGAGTATTTGTTCTTGTCTGAGTCATTAGATTTTATTTCACTCTTACCTGTTTTTTATTGTATTTGAAAGACTTTCTGTTTGCATGTTTAAAATTGTTTTTTTTTTTCTCAGTTTTAGAAAATTCTTAATCATCCTTGGTTTTTCTTAGACTCCAGTTTCATTTATTATAGACTCATTTGCAGTCGTATCTCAGTGTTTCTTTTTTTTTTTCTTGCATTTATCATTCTCCGTTTTTTGTTTTGATCTTTGATTTTTACTTCTCATATATCTTCTAATCCATCAGTTTTTCTTCCTTACTGGCTAATTAGATCTTAAAAATCTCCATTAAGTTTTAAGTGAATTTTTCAGTTCTATAATTCTATCTGTCTTTTCCAAAACTATCCTGTTGCCATTTATAATTCCCATTTTTTTTTGCTATACTCTCAATATTGTTTTTCAATTCCTAGAAACTTTAAAGTTTTCACACATATGTCTGATAATTGTTTCTTTTATATTTTTCTCCCATCTTTTAGTCATGTTGATTTATTCCAATATTTCCAATAAGTGTTTTAATATTTGTCTTAAAATGCTTGTGAAATTAACTTGAAGTTCATAGAGTAGCTTAGTATTTTTCTCCTGGCAGATAATTTTCAATGTGAAAAACACAAACCACTGAGTATGATCATATTTGTATTTTAGGACTGCTTAATTACTACTGACTCAAGCACACTGAACTTTAACAATCTACGAAATCAACTTTGTACTTTTCTGCAGTTTTTTAAATTGAATTTACTTTACTGTAGCAACAAATGTGCAAGTAAGCAATCCTGTGTAATCACAGGCACAGGTCTACGTCAGTGCTTTGATATTGTATTAGTAGCCTTTCCTATTCAGAGGACAAAATACAGATACAACTTCAGGTCATGGTCAATTGGGGAGGCCAAAACAATGTGGTGGAAAGTGTGATGACACACAACTGCTTACTTTGTGGCTACCAGAAAACAGGGATTGGGGGAGATTCAGAGAGAAAGAGACCACAAACCAGATATAGTCCCCAAATCATACTTCCATGATCTACCCAGATGTACCCAGAGCTAATCCGTAAGACAGCTCTCAAATCAGTAAATTGGCAATCAAATTAACTACCAAAATATATTACTAATTCTTGGTTTCCTGAGTGACAGCAGCTTAATCTAGTTACTTGAGTATCAAGGGCAATATTTAGAGAACATCAGTCAGAGTTCTCCTTGAAGCCTGGATCAAAATAAGACTGATCTTAGTCTTAGTCACTTCTAAGTAGATTCTCTGTCTTCCAACCTTGAGATCAAGAACAGATAGATATCCAAAGCAAGGAGTTCTACATTGCAATTTTTGCATGGATGCTCAGTGATGTTCTTTAATCCTAATTAACATGGCTTCTTCAGGAGACTGAAGAGCAAATAGAAGAGGGCTGTGCTTCCATTTACCCATAGTAATAATTATTATAAATATCTACATGTGTTATATTAAAATTCTGCCTCAAGGATGCAGTAAAATGGAGAAGGATGCTTGTCCTGCCTTTAAGTGGTCTTGACATCTCTGCTTCTTCTTTTATTTCTAGATTGTCTTCAGCATTAACTCTTCTGTTTGGTCTAATAATTAAATACAGTCAATAGTAATTTCATTAAACTATTTCTTGATTTGATAAATATCTAGGTAATAGACTGAAAGGTAAATAATCAACTTTCTATAGAATATTTGATAGGCTTTCTTTTCTCTCAGGGGCTTAATTTAATTTTATGTGGCTAGTGGTATTTCCTGAAAAATGTTGAGTCATTTTTCTGCCTGAATTATGGAGTCAATTCTATTAGCACTTGTGAATCAAAACAGTTTAAGTTCGGGCTCCTTTTCCAGTAATATAGACCCTTTAAATTTTGTTCACTATCATTTTGATTTCAGCTCTATGAACTAGTATTACTTCGGTTGTGATAATTATATCACTGTATTTTATTTTAACAGTTTGCAAATCCGAAGTACAGCTACCCAGGAAAACACACCTCACAACTGTGTATGGCTTCATGTGGGAAACGCTTATGACCAACCCTGTAATATTCTTTCATTTAGTGTCTGTGAGAGGCTGCTGTCAGGGTGAGGAAACACAGGAGAAAAATATCTGGGATTTAAGCATGACAAGAAAACAGTACAACAGTGTGGTATGTGAGTTCAAAATACAGAAAAGGTTAACAGATTGATAAATTTTAATATTAGCTGAGAAACAGACTGCAAGGCTCTGATTTCTGTACTTGTCAACTGCATGAAGAAACTAGTATTAAGTTATAGTAAACAGAGTCCTAGACTTGGATCCAAGGCAACCAAGGTTGAAATTTGGTTGCAAGATTGACTTAGTATTTTTGAGACATAAACCACAAGGCTTTGGTGCTTCAAGGGTATTTTAATTTGTGGATCTTCCAGAATTGTTCCTTGTTCTCAGAAAGCGACCATAGAGTATGCATTGTGTATTTCCATGACTTGTTCCAGAATTTTGAACATAACAGACATGGGTAGAAGACAAAAGGTACAGTGATGTCTCTGTTCATGAACGCTTGTATTTGCAAACAATTTTGTTCATAAACCAAAGAATTTGGCAATTTTTGTTTATTTGGTTTGTGAACTCTGAATCAGATGACGAACATGACCACAGTCATCTTCCTGCATGACCATGAGTGTGGTCACCATCAATTCGAGAACCATGGAATACATTACGTTTATGAAATGAGGGACAATTGTACTTCTGAACCACTAAATGAAGGAATAAGAAAAAACTTCACTAAAATCAGTTATTGTTTTCATCAATGTGATTATGGTTATGATTATTATCATCAAAAAGTACCAACTCCAGCTTCTTTTCTCAATTAAATAACTCAGATAGGACTACGTCTCTAATAGAATCCTGTGTAACGTATTGGAAAGCTACTCTTATGGGAAAGCTTTGTCCTTTTTAAAGTATTATAAAGAAAAAAAAAGATCTGAAAATGATTTTAAAACAGAAGCAGGCTCATTGCCAACAGTGTTAGTATTTTGGAGGACACGTTTTGCTATTTTTATGATGCATTATTTTATAATTTTACCTATTCCTTAGGTAAAATCCTTTACCTATACCTATTACTATAAAAGTATTATTATAATGTAAGTATATTTCTTTATGTGCTGGTTGATCTCTCTTCTTTTACACTTTCCCATTGGTTCTAGTAAAGATAGAAAAACTGAGGCTGAGAGACCACTTACTTCCACCCATTTTAATTTGGGCAACACTCCAGGGCCAGTCCTCTTCCACTGCTCTAAGAGAAGCAGAAATAAAATAATAAAGATCAAAGAAATCTTGAAGATCGAGGCCTGACATATTTATGTTAAAACTCATGGTCTGACCTTCAGTAACCATCTCTCTATTTGAACTTTCTTAAAGATTCATAGATACGGACTGCATGCCATTTATATAATTTAGTCAGAGTGAACTCTGGGAATGCATGCATATTGAAAGCCTCTGAAGATGACTCAGTACATTGTCAGTCATTCTGGTCACTCTTATCCAGAAATCCATTGTGAGGCACCAGGCCTGAGGTACATATCTTTTAAAATCCAAATTTGCAACGTATCTATGTGCTGTGCTTTTTGTTTCCATGTCACCCCAGTACCACTTTGCTGATCATACTTGTCCTAAACACACTTTCCCATTATCTTAAAAAAATATAGCTGAATTTTCTTTTACCAGTGGATAAACCCTTCCAATTCTTTGTTAGCCATACACAAGAGTCTGGGATCTATGCATTAGATCCACTATGTGGTAACAGTAGTGTTAATACTGGACTGTGAGGATTTCTGTATTGTTGAGAGACACTTGTTACTTTGTTAATATGTGAAAAGAAATTGAGTCAAAAATCACTGAATTTTTCATAAATGTAATTTTGTATTGTGTTGATTTTACTTCAGTGTAAATAAAATGCTTATTAAAGAACCTTATATCTCTAAATTATGTGTCTTTTATATAAGTATCACTGTTACAACCTGGGCTTTTCCCAAAAGTACAGATGAGTTTTATGCTAGGAATAGCATATACATATAGTAGTAGTGAGTTAAAGAATAAATTTGGGTTCTTAAAGAATTTTTTTAAGAAACTCAAGGGAAGATAATGGAGATTTTGCGACATTTACTTTCTTCTTTTAATGTGCAAATTCATATCATCATCATCTGAGGAAAAAAGTAAAGAAGGCAAACATAATTCAGGATGAGAGTATATGAAGTATAATTAATATAGTTAAAGCTTAGAATGGGAGTTTGAAGAAACTCCAAGTATTTTAATTTTGTTTTTGGTTGGATTAATTTCTTCTAATTTCTCAGGGTTCAGAAATCATCATAATTAAGGAAAGTAATTTATATACTGAAAATCTATCGGTTCTAACCCAGAACAGATGGGACAGACAATTACTCAAGAGATAGCTGTATAAGTTTGAATATGACCAAAGTGATGGTGTAAAGCAGGATTGCTGCGGGTTGTCCAAAAGATTCTATTCCTGACCTGTGGATGTATAGTTTATGTTGCAATTTACATAGAAACGTACATGTGAATGAAAGGAAACATTTGTATTTTTTGTGAGGCAAAGAAGAAAAAGCTGCTAGTTGAACCCAAGTCTAGAGGATAAATTCAAGGTGAGTGGTAATTATCTTAGAGGAAATGCCTGTTGAAGGGCATCTTTGCTTGCCTGTGTTGTAACAGTAATTTTTGAAGTTGTTCTCTAGTATTCATCATTGTTCCTCTACAGCGGCCCTGGTGTTTGGGTACCCACCCTAACTTTCATAGAGCCAATATCAAACAAATAACCCCCAAAATTACCCGAGAAAGATTTGCTAGAGCAAAGGTCAAAGTTGAGGGAGAGTCCCCAGGCCATTTTGCCATTGCAACTCGCTGTAAGCCAGCGGATCTCAAGGAGTAGTGAGATAGTTTTGGAACTCACTTAAGTAGCTCCTGGAAACTGGGAAAAAAAGAACTTGTGCTTCTCTAAACCAAAGGTACTTGTTACCAGCATTTCTCTCTCCTCAGAGTTGAGCTCAGGAAAATCCATGAGGGGTTTCTGTTGCTTCTGGGAGCCCTCAAAATTTATTCAATCCAAACCCATCTATCCACCATGAAGATCAGGCCCTGGGCATACTCTCCCAGGTTAGGGTTAAGGTTAGGATTAGGGTTAGGGTTTACTAGTGTCAATTTGCCCCAAAGATCAGGAATCCACTCCATTGCTGTATCCAGCACAGACACAGAAAGAGAGTAACAAAGAATGTAAGGTAATGCCCTTATCTCACATCCTCTCTTACTGGAAAAAAAATATAATAACCTCAGAAGTTGCGGGGCTGACTATGCCCTAGAGCAAGAGCAGTTTGTTTAGTAGCTCTAAGATAAACATCAATGTAATCCATTATTTAAACAGTCCTTTCACAGCACAAAAGGAGTTCTCTTTCTAACAATATCTGGTGTTAGTTTATTATGAGATCTCTGTGCTAGCTGGTCACCCCTGAAAAAGTTCTGATTAGTCATTTTGTAACTATATATCTGTATCTTTAAAAGATTGAACTATAGATCAATGTGGCCAAAATATCTAAGAGTGCAATGTGATTTAAAAGCAATTGTTCTGGGGCTGGGGATTTAGCTCAGCGGCATAAGCGCCTGCCTTGCAAGCAGGCAGTCGTGAGTTCATCCCTGGTACCGATAAAAAGGAAAAAGACAAAAAACAAACAAACAACAAAAAAAAGCAATTGTTCTCTGTGCTTCTTCTTTGTCCATTTAAATTGATTAAGGTAACTTCAGCTGCTTTGTTAAAGCTTTATGAGCTCATATCAATTTTGTGGTTTCTTTTTCATGTTTGCCCTTGCAAACTTTTGGATCTTATGGATTTTACATACACAAAATATATGCTCTAGGATTTTGGGGTTATCAAAACATAAGGCTTGAAACATTGCAGAATGAAGGTTAATGGGCTATAGACTTACATGGGGTGTACAAATAAGAGCCTTTAAGTTTGATAATATAAAGAGTATGTATGATTTAGGTTAATATTTGCGTTTCTGTGCATCAACTCTAAGCTATAACATCCTCCAAAATTACTAGTTAGACATGATTTTAGCCCAAATATTTTTTAGTTCACATAGTTTAACAGTGGACTAATTTAAATTACTTAGTAAGAATAAAGAATAAAGATTCCTTGGTAACATGTTTCCATCTAGGTGGTTAAGCCAATCAAAATAAGATTTTCAAAAAAAGTTTTTTTAATAAATAAAATGTATATTGTGGTCTATACACAAAATCTTACATGCTTTTTTTCTTGATCGAAAATGATACATAGCTTTAAAAAAGTGTTAAATGTTGTGATTTACTACTCATATACCATCTAAAATAATTGTTAAGCAAATAAATGTGGACTCCTTGGGCTTTGAAAAACTTCTGGACAAATCTTTCAGCTGCTGCCTGAATGTATTCGTTCAGTTTTGTCCACTGATGAAACTTGCTAGGTTCTTTTCCAAAGTTGTACAGTGATGTATTCCCAAAAATATTAAATATGTTATTATAATATAAGTTGGTTATAATTAAAAGGTTGGATTCTCTATGTCTAAAACAGTAAGACTTTTTTTAAGATATTAAGAGATTTGGTTAAATTTACAAAGATTTTAAAAACAAAGGTTCTATGTTGTGCTAAGATAGTTTCTTGTGTTTTTCATTGTTAAACTTTTAGTTATTAAAACTGAATTTTAAAAGTTTAATTAAATTATAAAACATTTTCAATAATCAATTTATAACTGGTTAAATAAGTATTTTCTTAGTTTGTAGCACAACATATGTGTTCAAAAACAAGAATAGCTGTAAGTCCAAACTTTAACATGATTATGGTGTTAAAACCTCTAAATATGTTTTTTAAAATCTCTATGTATTTTAAAACCTTTAAACATGTTTTTATTTTTTTTTTATTTTTTTTGTCTTTTTCTTTTTTTTTATTGGTACCGGGGGTCGAACTCATGACTGCCTGCTTGCAAGTCAGGCGCTTATGCCACTGAGCTAAATCCCCAGCCCCAAAACCTTTAAATATGTTTTTAAATCTTATCAGTGTAATTACACCTTATAAGCCTGTTAAAAATATAAATTCTGCCTTAAATATTAAAACAGTAAATATGTATAAGGATTTCTATATATAGCTATGATAGTAATGATTGCTAACTTCCAGTGAATTAAATCCATTTGTGTTTGTCAAGTATATAGGCCTTCAAAGATGCAAAACTAAAAACTTATATTAGTAACTTTCTGCATAAAGTTATCAGTAAACTTTTTATGATTGTGTTAAAATCATAAACGTATGTAATTATAGCTGTGACATCTCCTGACTTTTTATCTCTCTGCGAATTCCTTGCATATATCATAGATTCCAAGACATACTGATCTTTAAAGAAATTTTTTGAGTAAAAGTCCAAAGTATGTACAACTCCTTTTTCAAGTTTCTGGATCTGTTGATGAGGATTAAAGTGGCTATGAGCCAGGAAAAATGATTCTTGCTCTGGATACAAACAATGGATCTCTGTGTGGATGGCAAGGGTGCCTAGACCAGTCCCGACAAAAAGCAAGATGGCGATAGTCTGACTTTGGTTTGTAGTGGGTTGCACATGCAATGTGACCTCAACTCAAGACTGGCAGCTTCCTTCGAGAAATATAAGCAGGGTGGTTTATCTCTTCCCAAAAGTACACAGAAGAGATACCAAAGATACACAGTAGTACCTCACTTTATGAACTGAACTCGCTGCACAATTTTGGAAAAGATGTCCATATTCATGTTTGTGTTGGAAAGATGAACCCCGACATTTTTGTCACCTGATGCAGAATTTACAAACAGAAACAAAATTTTGTCAAAGGTTTCTGCTTGCAAGCCAAATTGTTTGCACAAAAATTGTTCATGAACCTAGCTACCACTGTATACTACTTGTTTTTAAAATTTTTTAATTAAAAAAATAGATAAAAGATAGAAATAATGAGTAATTTCAAAAAACACAGAAAGAAATCAACACTGGGTAACATTATCTTAGAAGCAGTTCAAATTACATGAGCTAGGCATAAAACATGAGCAGATAAACAATGACAGCATAAACTGTTCTATTTGATGAGTTAACAAAGAGTTAGTATAGTTCTCTATTTTGCACACTTACAAACACATCCAGATACATGTGTACACCTTCATGCAGGTAATCTTTTCCTTTCTTGTACTTCTCCATCCCCTTTTCCCAGCTGTTCTTTCATTCTGAGCACTTTCTTTCCCTTTCATTATTACAATATCTATTGTACATTTTGGATCTTATACTTCTTAAATAATTATAGGTAGCTCAGTGTTTGTACCCAAAACATCACTTTTAAGTTTTATTCTATAAACTTGGGGCCAGTGTAGAGGATTTAAGATGTTTAATTATTTCTTCTCTAGATAGAAGTAAAAAGGATGAAAAGACATACTCCTCAAACTTGGCTTAATAATAAGGAGAGATAGTGAACAAATATCTCATCTAGTGATCTTCAACTCTTTTCTGGCATAAGGCGTTACATACTAAAATAAAAATGCAAATATACTTTTAAAGATAACCTTCCTCAATGCTTCTAACCTACCAATCTAATGAAAGTCACCCAATCTTATGAAAAGGGATGTTGGTATTCCCCAAAGGACAGGAGTCTACATTGTACTAAAAAGAGTATCACCAAAGAAAAAATAAAAAGATCTCCTATGCTTCTAAGGGAAGCAACATAGTCAAGCAAATCCATGATCCATCTTGGCAGACAACATTGAAAGAACTGAGAGGGCCTATATATAGTCTCAAAAGGGAACTCTGAGGAACCTTAACTGCTCTTGCTATATACTAGGATGTTAATTTTGCTTATACAAGTTTCACTTAACTTGGTCTTAAATACCCAGGAGAAAAACAGAATAAGATATAAAAAAAAAATA